GTGACCAAGATGACCCAGGTGCGATGCCACGTTGAAGACTGCAACAAGCGACGACGGCGCGTTGGCCCGGAAAAGTCTGCGCACCGCAGCGCAGCGAAGGTCGCGCGTTGACTTTTGTCTAGGCCAACGCGCCATCGTCGCAAATACCGGTTAACAACGCTTCGCATTCGCAGCCACGGCCCGGTGAATGCATAAAAGGAGAAGGAGATTGCTAGTCTCTACGTATGCAACCTCTTTGCAACAATGAAGATCCCGCGAAACACTTTCATGTTTATATTCAAAAGTTCCTACCAGCTCACCCCGCACGGGACCTGTTTTCGTTGGCGAGACGTGGGTGGGCGTCAGCGCGCGGTTAGAACTGGGGATACCAATCCATACCACACCACAAAGTTGCATTCGCTCCAGTTGCAAAACTCCACTACAGTACATTATGTCGTCGACGTATTGGACCTTGTCGTGAAGTATAACCCATAATTGACGCTGGTCGTGCGTGTATTCCTTGTAATGTTTTAGGGCTTCCGTCATGCATCGCCCTCGTCAATTTCACATCGTCTTGGTGTTGGGTTGAAATGCAAGGCTACAGGGACACGCACAGCAGTACTCACAGTCTGTACTCACGCATGTGCGTGATGCGCTGCGCGTGTTGACGGTGCGTTTGCAACTGTGACGTGGCAGCATGTATGCAATCGACAGTACTCGTGATGCATCCGGTGGAAAAGTAGATGTTTACCGTATCGCCAAGGCACAACACAACAAGGAGTTAGGCGTACATGGCGTTTTGTTTGCTTTGGCTTTGCTTGGCCGCGCCCATGCTCATTGTTGGATATGTGTTGCGGACGCAATGACTGGAGGTACCATACTACACAGCTGGGCGTGTCTCGCTTGCGCGCTCGAAGAAAGAGACGCTTGCTGGGTGGGCTCGACATCTGCTTGACGATTCGACAAAGGCAGCGACAAAGACATGGGGCACTCTTGCCATTCAACTTAGCACGACTCACATTTCCAAATTTGCATCACACTACGAACGATGGCCTTCTCCATGTTCCCTTCTTGGTGGCGCTTCCATCGCCAAAGCTCTTCCAAGACATCGACCGTCAGTCAAGTGCTCATCGCAAGCCGTACTGTGACGACGTCGGACGATGAATACGACGACGAAGAGTTCTGCTACGGGATGACCAAGATGCTTCGCACCGATTCGATCTCATCCGAGACAACATTTATCGAATCAGAGCTTGCAAGCCTCGATGCTTGGAACTTTGATGACGACGACGAGCCGATACCACTCCTCGATGCCGAGGCCACGCGCCGCCCACCGAGTCCGATCATTACCAAGCCTGTCCAAGGCAACGGCGTCTGGGCCTTCCACGACGACGAAGACGACATTGCGCCACCGCACAGTCCGCTCATGGCGCGTCGCCCAAACATCTACTACCCACCAACGAGTCCGATTCAATATCAGCTCTGAGTACATCGTTTGATTGGCGTGAAACCCGGTCGAAGGCGTTTCCTTCGTTGTACTCTATCAGTTAAAGGTTAATTTATTCGTGTACAATTCTTGATTGCATGAAAGCTTCGGCGACGTATGCGCTAACGTGTACAAGTGCGTTGAGGACTTCACGTGCGTGCGCCGTGTAGATTGGTGTTGATGGAGCCGCGGTGATAGAAATACGCCAGAAAGGACAACTTGTCGCGGTTGCTTGGAAGCAATATGAGGCGCGTGCGCTTGCAGCAGTTCAAGTCGTCTGTAACCCGCAGTGAGTGAAACCGCGACTCCCTTACATGGCTCGCTGCGGTTGCACACCCTGTAGAGAAACAACGAATGCACGCCTCGCGCAGCTATGCATTTGCCACAAGCGCATCGCGATCAACCTTAAACACAGACGCAGCATAAGCGAAAACGTCATTCGTACCCACGAAGCTCGTCATGTTGACGGAGCGATCATGTTACGTAGCGTTACGCGGCAGTTTCGCGAACGCACAAGGGTGCCCAGTATGGGTGCCCATTCCTTGGGAATGGTTGCGCACGGATGGCACCCTGTCGTACGTAACATTGTTTACGTCATTTCTGTTTACATTGTCGTTGTGCCAACAAGCGCATTTTCGAGTGTTCCAGTATCACTGCCATACAAGAATGACGTTGATTGAAGCAGGCGACCTTGGACACGTAGGTTTTCACCCCAGGCCGTGCTTTCGAAAAAGTTGCAGTGCATTTATTAACATATCGATCGATGTCCACAAAGTTCACAACGAAGCTTACACAATCCATAAATGTGTAGACCCTTGTGGGGCGATAAGAGCTCCCACGGCCTACACTTCACCAGCGATCTTCGTCAATGGGACCGCCATCCTGAAAAACAGCGTTCATTTGCACGACATTGCTGGACCCAACGTGCAGCCCGGGGCACAGAATAGTGGTAGGACACCAGTCGTGCCGAAGAGCTCGAAGAGGTGACGGCTCGGAATAGAGACGGCGGCGCGGACTCGTCGACTACCGAGTATAAGCTGCTACTGCCACAGTGATGTCGTTGTTGAAACGCTTTCTACAGTAGCTGCAGTGCGCGTGCTACCCCGGTAAGCGCCTTCTCTCTGACAGCCCCCAATTTTTCTAACACGTAAACGACCGCGCCTGTTGTGAGAATTTTTGGATGTTAAAGACATTAGTCGTAACTTAAAAAAGAAAGAGGCCGCAGCTGCTGAAGGTATCATGGTCGTCATCATCAATATCAGACTGCATCGCCTTGGGTCTGGCGTCGACGAGATCATGCATTGACAGATACCCGCGCTCGATCGGAGCTCGCGCTCGCTTCGTGCGCAACGACGCTTCAAAGACAAGCCGCGCTTGCTTGAGGTCATTGAGCCGATTGATGTCGTCGTTGTTGTAGTCGCTCACGTGCTTGTAAGTTTTGCGGTTAAAGTTGGTGAAGAGGAGGCGGTCGACGAGCGTCCGGCCCTTCTTGAGCCGCTTCGTGACACGCATCGGGTCGCACTTGAGCTGGGTCGAGACGTACTGGCGCAGTGTGGTCTCGCCGATGTCGTCTTCGAGGATGCCCCGCAAGAAGCACGAGACTAGATGCTGGAGAAAGTGGAGCTCTGGAGCCGTCCAACGACCGTAGTTGGCGTAGTGCACCATCGAGTTGCAAGTGTCTAGGGCAAAGGTAATTGGGAAATGGTTCCATTGCAGGCTTTCCACGACGTTGAGAGCGAGCTGCTGCGACGTTGTCGCGAGCGGCAAAAGATAGCCGGGGCGTAGCGTCGAGGAAACTTCGATCCGTTTGGTGCGTCTTCTTGAAGTTCGTTCCTCCCACATCTATCTGGGGCTCTCTATGAAAGGAGATCGTAGAAGCATCGAATGCATGGACTGAGAAATAGCGTTGGTAGCACGTACTAAGATCTTGCTCGCAAGTAACGAGATCCATGAAGTTGCCTCGCATGACGTCGCACCACGTAGAACCCAGCAGGCACACGCGCACCATCGACGCAGGACGCATGGGCTTCCGCGACCGTTGCGATCGAACGCTTCACGTCTATCAACGTTCGCTCGAGTCGAGGTGACGCAACCCGCTGCTAAAGACGCTCGGTTCTAGGGATTGAGCGCGAAACCGCACGGGTGTCGATGCTGCTGCTGGCCATCACTATCTCATGGCGGCTGGCTCGATCGCGGCGTACCCTTTCTACGACATAAGTTTGTGCTTGAATGGCTCTCTCAGGCACCGTTGCTGATGGCTGGTCGAAGATCGCAAAAATAAATATCTTTCGCCTCGGCCAATCAGACGCGTTCATTTCGATACACGTAAAAACGGTCTTGTGCACAGCGTGAGCTGCGCCGCAAGCGAGTTTGCTCGAGACAATCCGCGGCTCGACTCACATACTAGCGGGTTCTCTAGAGGCACTACTAAAAACGCTTCCAAAACGCAACAAGACTTATCTGCAGACTCTTTCGGCCATTGCCGTTATAGTCCGCGCGGCTTCAGTGAAATGTTTTGGTGGTGACGCGGAAAGCGGTTTCCACCCGAGCACATTAGAGCACTAAACAACTCGGAGGTCGAGCTCCGAACGCATATGTGCGCAGCTCACTCAATGGACTTGATCTTGCCTTCCCTCATTTTACGAACCTCGTGGTCGATTTCGCGTGGTTATCCGATGCGTATCGAGCTTCAAGTTGCAAAGAATCTCGGCTACGAAGCGCGGCGTAGCTTCAAGTAGCTTGAAAACCACGTGGAGTCCGATTCTTATGCCCGTGCCATCGACGCAGGAGGTGTCAAGCCCAGGAGAAGAGTGGCGGTGCAGAGTAGCTACCATGAATGTGGTCAGCGGTGCTGCCGCATCGGGGGCTGATTTGGCACTAGTCGTAACGCGCCAGTCGCCCGTCCTCCACACATCGTCGCTGCCAGATGCGAAAGCGGATACACAAACTTGAATGAGCTCCAATTAGAACTGCGCAAGTTGGAATTGAGCTTGAGAGCGCGTCGATATTGTGGCGGTCAAGTCTGACGTCCGACCCCGGCTCAGCGACGTTGAACACGAGCGGCTGGCAATGATCGACACGAATGACATCAATGGACTTGGCATGAAGAAGGATATTAGTGTATTAGATCTCAATGGGCTCGGCTTTCACGACGATTTGGTGCTCGTCTTCTAACTCCAAGAGGATGTCCCACAGCTCATCGAGCTCAGACGACTGGAGCAACCGCGTCGCATCGGGCTGGATGCCATGATTGATGCTGCCGTCGTTGACGTCCTTCTCTTCGAGCGTGCCTTCGAGCAGCTTTACGGGCGGCCATGTCGTCACGATCCTCCATTGCGCCGGCGTAAACATCGACACGAGGTCCCGCGCTTCGTCGTCCGACCATGGGGCGTGCGGCAAGAGCGAGTCTGGCAAGACCATCTCTACCGTTGTGTCGGGCACCTTCGAGCTTGTTTGGAGGCGCGGGCGTGGTGGAAGACCCGCGAGGCGCTCGAGGCGCAGACCGCGGATGCGAACTTGGGTCGTGCTGCGCGTGGGCACGCACTGAGCGACTTCTCGCCACGGCGCACCTGGCATCGTCACCATGGCTGCGTTAAGTTGCATGTCTTCGAGCGCCGACCATTGACCTTTGCATCGGTTGCCACAAAAATACGCTGCGGACGTTGGCATTGTGTGCATGCTGCTGGAGAGCCAAGAAAATGGAAAGTGACGATCGCCTCACGTCGCCCGGCGAGATGACGTCTGCGTGGACACGACAGAGGTTACGTCGTCGACACTACATGTGTCACCCGGCTCTTTGCCCGTAGTATGTGATTGGCGGTCCGTTAATTTTCGGCTGGCGATAGGGAGCAGTAGCCTGCAGCAACGAATGGGATCCACGATACCCAATGCAAATTAATTTCCAACGGGCAATGCGAGTCGGCACCGTGCCTTGCATTGCCATCGGTTGGCTGTCCGTTCATCCGCTTTATCGTTGCGAGGTGAGCGACCGCTCTGGGCCATACGATTCGCATCGCAGGTGGCGGATCCACCCATATCACATGGCGAACCTGTCTCTTGACGGTAGGTCAGTAGTCCATACTCAGGAGCGACGGTCGTCAGTTGCTACCCACCAACGCGATCGGCCTTTCCGGTGGGCGCAGGAAGAGCCCATCATCGGAAGAAGGTTGCTCTCCGCCAATCTCGCGGCGAGCACAACACATGTCCGAGCGACTCGCACCTTGCGTGATCACAAAACATCTGGCTTCGCGTACCTTGAAAGTCTGTCAAGCCAGAGG